AAAAAAAAAAAAAAAAAAATCATCTACCAATATTCCCCTTCCCCGAATCATATTTATTATGGATGATGAATTACAAGGAAGGAAGTAGAGTTTTAAAACAAATATTTATCTATAAATGTAAAGTGAAGTATGACATTACCTGATCTTATGTAATTATGTATTTTTATCCATGTAACATGTCACTCACTCTACATTACAATGTAATCCAAATTTGTGAATAATAATATTCCACTTAATTAAGTGGTGTGCGACTGAGTGAATATGTGTGTGGGTTGCAGGCGCGCACGCAAGTGCGAGAGGTGGGTTACTAAGTTGGGGTCTATGCTACTGCAAAGAAATGAGTCCCAACAAAAATCATTGTGTTGATGGTGAAGAAGCTGATATTGATTGCCCCTGCAACCCGGGAGCTCAGTACTATGGTCGTGGGGTCTTTCCAATATACACGTATCGTCTATTTATATTCTTGCATTTTTTGGTGTTTATTTATATATGTATTAGTCACAAAATAATTTGATTCATGGTGATGTCATATGTATCGATCCAACAGTAGCACAACATATTGTCGCGCCGGCAAAGCACTGAATGTAGATTTGTTGAACCATCCGGAGCTCGTCGAACAAAATGCGACTCTCGCATTCATGATCGCCATGTGGAGGTGGATGACTCCAATTTTTGGCGAGCACAAACTAATAAGAGGGGCCCAAAAAGTAATAACGGTACCCTCGCCACACACTGTATTTGTCAGCGACTGGAAGCCAACTAAAAAGGACATCTTGTGGGGTAGATTTACAGGGTCATTAGCAACGGCTATCAATGCCATGTACGGTGTTGATTTTTGCGGAAATCTAGGTAATAGGCTCAAAATGAACAACATTGCAGATTATTACAACTATTACCTTGACCTCATAGGCGTCGACAGTGACCAAACTTGGGACCTCCTCAGCTGTATGGACCAGAAACCTTTTAACCTGCCCAAGGATTTGCGCCAGCTACTTGAATGAACATTGTATATTGTTATTATTATTATTATGTCTGGCATTATTAGTATGTGTGTCTCGTTGCATTCATTAAGAAGCATGTTTGTATAATTATAAAGTCATGAATAAGGGGAAGTTTTTTTTGTCACAGTTATGTTATACGTTATTTATTACCATCCAGTATTATTAGATTCATATTTTATTTTGGGATCTAAAACACAGTCCAACCAGGGGCGAAGCCAGAAATTTTGGTTGCTGGGGTCGGGGGGTCTTACACGGTGTCTTATATAGATCTGCCCCTACTGCCGGGGTCTTATTATTTTTTTAATGGGGTATTACACGGTGAAATTTTGTTACGTACAAGTGGTTCAACGCAAAGCGTCGGTGTCGAACGACCCCAGCCACTGAACGTAGCTTCGCCACTGAGTCCAACATATATGGGTTATAGGCACATACGAGTATCTGTGTCGATCCATTTACAGGTGTCCAGTGTCAGTCTACTAAAAGATTGCTATGATCGATCTGCTGATCCAGTATGAAAAGGAACTAAAAAAGCGACCGTCCAATCACGTCTCATCCTCAAAAGCATCACTCCCACATGTTCTCGTGCATGTAGCCCTTCCGGAAACGTGTCAATCAAGTAGTCCATAATAGGCATATATATTGTAATAATACCTTGAAAAATGCTACATGTACATAATAAATGTACTACTTCAGAATATATTTGTTGACCGTAATTTATTCTCATCAGCTCTGCCACTCCACCAAGATATGAACCCTCGCAAAAGGAACTACCAAAGTGCATCAGTACTCTAACACGATTGATAGCCATTCAAATAAGTGAACAACAAAAAGAACTAAAAAAAAAGAAACAGAAAAATGCAGTAGATGAATGGTGCAGGCGTTAAATTGTTAGAGATCACTGTTTTTTTGCCTACATGATAAATGCAGAGACCAAATCCTCACCTGTGAAAAAGCAGTCAATTAATGAGGTGCGCAACTTATGCGAAAGATGTGCGAATGAATTTCGAATAGTCGTAAAATTGCCAGGTCAATATGGCCCTGCGAAAAATGACACATAATCGTAAAAAAAAATATGTTTTATTCGATTTGGTTATACGATTCTTAAATAGGCAAGCGAAAAAATGTCACATAATTGTCAATTATCCTTAGGATATATGCGAAATTGTTTCGCATATTAGTAAATTATGCGATTGACTTGGATATGCAATTACCAGAAAATGCGTATTCAACAAACTATGCGAATTAGATGCGAAATATTTTCGCAGTCATAAATTTGCAAGGTTGATATAGCCCTGCGAAAAGAAGGCGCATAATCATCGTAAATTATGCTGTAATCTATTAAAAATGCGAAAGATGTTCGCACATTTGTAAATTATGTGTTTGATGTGAATATGTGATTAAAAAAATGCGAAATATTTACGCATAGTCATAAATTATGAGGCCGATTGGATATTCGCTGGTTCATTTGGACATGCGAGTGTAATATCGCATAGCATTTCGTGAATTTTGGGATGTAAAA